GGAGTTAAGTATTTGAAGGGAATTGAAGATAGGGTTATTGAGATAAATATTATTGTCATTCAAGCAAACATTTTGTTTGAATGCTTGTTGTATATGATATTTTTCAATTGTGTCTCTGTGTTTCTTATTGTATACAATTTTTAAGATGTCCATTGTGTCTGTTATGCTATATGCATGTCCGGTGTTTAGAATGTGTTTGGCATATGCTGAATTATCTTTATTATGTTTTAATGCGTTTATCAATATATAAACATAAAACGTAAATTATTAAAATGCAACGCCAACATCAGATTCAACAAAATATGTTTGAAAACTAAAATAATTTACCATCTCGTGTATTGGAATATAAAAAGCCTTATAGTTTAAATGCGTCATGTTTGTGTTTTAAAATTCAAATATATAATATAATTCAAGTCTATACACAAACTTTAAATTGTTGATGTTAAAATTTAAAATTAATATTGATATATTTGAATAAAAAGCCTTTGAAACCGAGTTACTGTCTTAAAGTCGCAGAAGATTGGACCGGGCTCTTTAAGTGCAATTTCGAATACGAGGCTCCGTTAAAACGTGCGTTTTGGGGTACCTCTTGCATGGGCCACCCCCCGTAAAATCACGATTTACGAAAATAAAGTGTACAATTCCATGTGAAAAATGAATAAAGAAACCAGATTTATTGGTGGCATTTGAGGTTCTGACGGCTGTGAAGACATGGCTTAGTCATCGCACTCTTTAGCCGTGTATGGCTCAAGACTGGATCTTACCGGGGAAGTCGTCGGGCTCGCTGGATCGGGGATCTTCTTGTTATGCTGGGTTATGCCTAACGCTCCTCCAGCAATTGTGATTGCATACATGGCGCAATCGGCCTAATAACTAAATGTATCTATTGTGCACCAAAATTCTAGGATCCACACCCATTTGTATTTGCGGCATATCCAGATGTTGCCGCGAGCAAGCTGAGGCATGGAACAAAACAGAAAAAATCAGAGAATGAAAATAAAAACAGGCGAGTCTGATTACATTTCGTAACTCACAACAAAGCGATACCCGTCACATCTGAAATGAAACGTTGATTTAAAGTTACGCGAGTGAATCGAAATTATGCTCAAACTGGACGTTTAAACACTTTAAATGCAGATGTAATTAATAGCTCTTATATTATTGCTACTGTTTGTATTATTATTTAGTGTTGACGACAGGTCCATTATCCTGCCCAAAAAGAGTTCTCCTGTCTTCCCTATTCTCAGCTTCTCGCTTTAACTCCAGAAACTTCATCTTCTGTCGTCGGTTAGCTGTATCAATCTTCTTCCTAGTCCTCTCTTTCATTCAACCTGGCCTTCGATGATATGTCCCAGCCAGTTAGCTTTCCTTCGTTTAATCGCCTGCAGAATGTTTCTTTGCTCGTTGACTCTCCTCAATACTTCTTCGTTCACATTTCAAAACTCTCCAGGTATTTCTGTTCCTTCTTCCAGAGTGTCCAAGTCTCTGCTCCATACAGCGCGACACTCCATACGTAACACTTCACTAGTTTCTTCTTCATCTCCAAGCCCAACTTGCTAGTGAGAAGTATCCTCTTCTTGACGAAGGCTGCCTTGGCCATGGCTATCCTTGCCTTTACCTCCTTGGTGCATAGAGCGTCCGTCGTGATTATGCTTCCCAAGTACTTGAAGTGCTCCACATTCTCCAGCTGTTGGTTTCCAACTACGACGTTCAATGGTTCTGCTCTCGGTGCTATCCTCATTACCTTTGATTTTTCAATGTTGATTTCCATTCCATACTCTCTACCTGTTGCTGCATGTACAGGTTTTCGATTAGTCTTCTATTTCTCCAATCAATTCCAATTCTCCGCTACGAACCCTTTTTGTCTCGGGTTCTGCCGCACCACCTACCTCAGCCTCTGATCCTTAATTCCCCAAAAGAGGCAACTGAGGAGGGAACTAATTGTAATCGGGCGATAGTTTGTCACCTTAGCGCTGTCTTTCCCTTCTTTGGGGATGAGGGTGGGACTCTATTTTCGTGCCAACCTTTTAGCGATATAGGCAGGTTCCCTCCGTTTGTCGCGGATCTGTTTCGCAGTTTTGGTCTCAATCAGCTTCGCCATTTTCATTGCTATATATCTGTCCCCTTCAAGGGACTTCTTCAGTTGGAGCATCATCTCGATCTCTTCAACAGAGAAAGAGAGCCCGGCTCTAGCAGGCTTTGCAGGCCGGGCGCTTGTGCTGACTGAGGCCGCTCACTGTATCGAAAGTTTCGGTACAGTGAGGACATCGGACGGCCTTGGCCTTCTTTCGCCCCGTGCACTTGGGCAAGTGACACTGAGCAGCATGCTTTTTGGTATATTGCTTATCGCACTTCAAACACTGGAAAACCAGGTCGAGTGCTGCATGCTTCTCCTTATGGTGCAGGAGACAGTCACTCAAGCTCAGTGCAAGGTATCTCTCCCCGTGCCACTATGAAGACATATAGGGCATATGTAGTGATTAAAGGGGAGATACACCAGATATTCTCTTGTGTGGGTGTCCAGACCATCAAGAGAACATCCTTCAACAGCCAGATTGTCGTCATAATTGGCCCCCTGGTGTGGCCGAGGCCTACGACGAACCGTTGGGCCTTGCTCTTCGAAGTCCGAGGCTGTTTAAGAGTCAAGAGCCTGTTCTAGAATCCCGAGGGGGGGCTACCCCTCGAGGTTTCCTTCGCTGGTTATCGGCCGAGGGGTAAACCCCTCGTTGCCCACCTCACAGGTGGCACCAGGCCGGTCCCTCGACCTCACGGTACAGGGTTAAGGGCCATTTGGCTATTTCTAGGTGCAAGAAAGAAAAATTATCAAGCACCAACTTCCAACTTATAGGGCGTGGTAACCCATGTGTTAACGTGAATGGGGTAAGGCTGCTCGCTTTTCGCCTAACCCCATGAGTACAAAATTTCACCACTGTCCCTTGGGAACGGGATAGTTGTTTTTGGAAAATCAGCGCAAGCGGGACCCCATTAACCTGGGGGTGGATCTTAGCCGAACTAGTATTGTGCGTTGTCCGGGAAAGGCCTCGCGGAGGCGTCCACTCGACATCAGTCGACCCGCCGCTGAGGGAACCAGCCTCGACTCGCACCACTCTTCATTTACAATTAAAAATTACTAATACTACAATATATATACTGTACAACATGTACGAATTAAAATTGTACTACAAGTACAAACACCAAAACAAATGAAGGTGTATTGCTTAGAACTAATTTAACAAATATTAAAAGATCTGTACATGTGCATTAAAAATTGTACGCATGTGCAACCACCAAAAGAAATGAAGGTGTATAATAAAATCGTACATGATGTACGGATTAAAATTGTACAACAAGTACAAACACCAAAATAAATTCGTGTAGCTTAAAACTAGGATAACAAAATTAACAGAATTTAGAAATGGCGGTGTAAAGGACCGCATAAAACCAAATTTAAAATGAGATAACAAATAAAATGAAAGACACAAACAATAACAATGACGGTGTATAGGGCCAATTAAATTTTTGATTTATGTATTAGCCAAAAATAAATTAAAAATTAACATTTAAAATTTATATGAAGAGTGGGCTGTGCCAAACGAGGGCCGAACTCCAGACCCTCACCTACTACATAGCTGGGGAACCTACACTGGTTATTAGAGGTTGCAGCCCCCCGATATGAGCAGGTAGCCTGCCCATGGTGCTAGAGGATTTGACGGTTATAATCCATAAATGCGTGGTATATTTCTGTGGAACTTCTAA